AATCACTGTTCAGTATTGTCCCAATGTATAGCCAAGATACTGCAATGGAATTTGGACTGGATATACATGCCACCTTTACCGGGGAAGAATAGTGAAAATTGAAGGGATGAAGATGTCTTGTGAAAATAACATGAATCTGGATGAAGAAGGTCACAAGACATACTTGAGCTTCATTCAATCTGACAATATGAAGTGCACTGAAGTCAAGAAGAAAGAAGTCAATACTGTAGAGTATGAGAGTGAAGAAGATCTTCATCCAGACTCAGTGGCAGAAATACCATCAAGGCAATTAACATCTGAACAATTCCACTCATTAGATATACAACTGAAATAGTGGACTGGACTTAAGCTGAACTAGAAACACTAGATCAGAAAAATAATGTCAATGAATCATGTGATTCATCCACACAACGTTAACAGACTCCATTTACCAAGGAGTATTGATCTGTGTAGAATGTTGCAAGTACGCCAGACAGTTGAAGAGGAAAAAAAGGCATTGAAACAATATCTGAAGGACAGTGAAGAAGATATACTAGATGCAAAGTATTACATCCCAATACATTTGTTTGTTTGTTTGATTGATTAGTTTGTAACCCATCTCACTTTGCAACTTACAACTTAAAATTTGCAACTTACAAATATGAAAAGCCAATAAAACGCTGAAAAATAAATATTCCTAACAACAGTATAAATTACAATTTTAAAAAATGGGGAGGAAGTCATTTTGTAAATTTCCTTTTTCTTTTTTTCTGCCTGGAACTTTGGTCTCCTCTAGTGTCCCATTTCTGTAATTACAAAGTTTCTACTGTCTTTATTATTTTATTTTCAACTTTCAGACAATGATCTCATTCCTAATAAACAAAACAACTTGGGTTTTGTTTACTCAATTTTTCAAAAGTTGTAATATTTAAAATTCATCTGGTCCCTTAATCCTTTAAAAATATTCTTAGATTAAATTTTTACTTAACTTTTTGCCATTTGCAGGAATTGGGTATGTCTAGTTTAATGAAAAGAAGGACTAGGAGTGACACGATAGCAGTGCTCTAATGTCTAAGGGGCTGCCACAAAGAAGAGGGAGTCAAGCTATTCTCCAAAGCGCTTGAGGGCAGGACAAGAAGCAATGGATGGAAACTAATCAAGGAGAGAAACAACCTAGAACCGAGGAGAAATTTCCTGACAGTAAGAATGATTAATCAATCACAACTTCAGAAGTTGTGGGCACTCCATCATGGGTGATTTTAAGGGAAGATTAATTGGACAATGATTTGTCTGAAATGGTAGAGGGTATCTTGCTTGAGCAGGGGGGTTGGACTAGAAGACCTCCAAGATCCTTCCATCTCAGAGTCCTAGTGGACAATCCTTAAATCAGGGCTTTTCAATCGGTGGTACATGTACCACTGGTGGTACGCAACCACCTGGCTGGTGGTATGCGGCATCGCCTTCCTCCCCCCATGGCATCGCCTTCCTCCCCCCCCCCCGCTCCACTCCTTCCCACCTCACTTGTTTGTGGAAAATATGCTGCTTGGAGGCAGCCTGCACGAACTCTACCGAATGTGTCCTGCAGGAGGCATGTAAAGAGCGCAGGCGCAGAGCAAGGCCCCATCCTCCCCAGGGACTCATTGTGCAGCAACCGGATTGACTTCTTCTCATGCATGCAGGTCAGCGGGATCGCCCTTCCCCTCCCTCTTCTTACTTCACAACAATCGCTAGTCTGATAGGAGACAGAGCCGTCTACTCCCTTGGCAGGAATGGGTTTGAGACCGCAGGAAGGGGTTTGAGACTGTTCGCGTCGCAGCCCTGAGCGCGAACATCTCAACCATCCCTCCTTCTTTTCCCCCTTCTCTCTCTCTCTGTTGCGGCCTCACTCTCTTCCTATCCATTGCTTTTAATTCTGCTTGAGTCCACTCCACTATTCCAGCTGTATATCTAATGACTGGAATTGCTCAGGTGTTGATTGCCTTCATGGTAATTCCTCCATTGAGTTTGGACTTTGAGACCTTCTTCACTCTCTTGATGTATTCACCTCTAATCTTTTTCTTGTGCTTGATGTTGTCAGCTTGGAGGATTCCCAAGTATTTGTAGTAATCTTCCTCATCCAGACTCTTAATGCTATTTTCATGGGGTATCTTGATTCCTTCAGTTTTCACTATTTTTCCTTGTTTGATAGTAAGTGTGCCACATTTGTCCAAGCCAAACTCCATTGCAATATCTTGGCTATATATACGGACAGTGTTGAGCAGCAATTCTATTTCAGATAATGTTTTTCCATACAGCTTCAGATCATCCATGTAAAGGAGGTGGGGTAGACTGGCAGATGTTTTTGATGTTCGATAGCCATGGCCTGAGTTATTCAGTATTGTTGACAGATGAAACAGTACAATAACAAATAGTAGTGGTGATAGTGAATCTCCTTGAAATATTCCTCTCTTGATATTAACCCCTCCCAGTCTCTCACCATTGACCTGAAACTGTGTCTTCCATTGTGCCATCTATCTTTGCACAAACTTTCTGATGTTTCTACTGACTCCTATTATTTCTAGGCACTTGATTATCCAGTCATGTGGCAAAGAGCCAAATGCCTCTTTGTAGTCAATCCATGCTATGTTCGGGTTGGTCTTCCTTCTCTTGCAGTTTTCCAAGATCATTTTGTCTATTAGGAGTTGATCTTCTGTTCCTCTGCTATTGAGACGGTTTCCTTTCTGCTCAGGTTTTCAACTAGATGCTGTTGGACTGCATCAGCTACTACACCAGCTAGCAATTTGAAAGTTGTTGGTAAGCAGGTAATTGGCCTGTAGTTGCCTGGTGTTGCCCCTTTTGCTGGATCTTTCATTATCAGATAGGTTTTCCCAGTTGTTAGCCACTTTTCAATTTCTCCTCCCTTGTAATATATTGTTGAACTGTTTGGCAATGAGTGGGTATATAACAGTTAGATGTTTCAATCAAAACCCATGCAGTTCATCTTCACCTGTTGCTGACCAATTCTTGATTTTCCTTGCTCTTTCCTCTACCATTTCTGCTGTTATTATTAATTCTTTCATTTCAATTTCTGTTTTATTTGCATCCACCTCTCTTAACCAAGCTATGTCCTTGTTCTATTTGGGTTATCCCATATCTGCATCCAGAACTGCATTGTTTCTTACTTGTCAGGTACTGACTGATTCATTGCAGTTTCTCCATTGATGGATTGGTAGAAACATTTCTGATTGGATTGAAATTGGAGGTTCTGCCTATAATTTGCAATTCAAGCTTCGTATCTGTTGATCTTCCTGGCTATAGCTGTTATTTGCTGCTTTATTATTTCTAGTGCTTTCTTGATCTTCCTTGTTTCTAAGTGGTATTTCTTGATTAGGTATTCTTTTGTTTTCTTGGTCTTCAGTTTCTTTTATTTCATCTAGCTTGCTTGCATCTGATCTTAACTTGCTGATCTTATTTTCCAGTCTAACCTTCCATTTTTGTGGTGTACTGTTTGATTTTTTTCTTCTTTGTTGATTTTGCATCCCAGGTATTCAGTTATAACTGCAGCTGTGCTGTATATTAGTTGGTTTGTTTCTTGTAATGAATTGGTGCTTATGCTTGATATTGCAGTATTTGCATCTTTTAATTCTTGTGTTAGCTGTTTCTTTGGAACAGCTTCAGATCATCCATGTAAAGGAGGTGGGATAGTCTGGCAGATGTTTTTGATGTTTGATAGCCATGTCCTGAGTTATTCAGTATTGTTGACAGAGGAAACAGTGCAATAACAAATAGTAATGGTGATAATGAATCTCCTTGAAATATTCCTCTCTTGATATTAACCTCTCCCAGCCTCTCACCATTGATCTGCAACTGTGTCTTCCATTGTGCCATCGATCTTTGCACAAATTTTCTGATGTTTCTACTGACTCCTGTTATTTCTAGGCACTTTATTATCCAATCATGTGGCAGAGAGTCAAATGCCTTTTTGTAGTCAATCCATGCCACATTCAGGTTGGTCTTCCTTCTATTATTATTATTATTATTATTATCGATCATCGCACAGTCAGCCAGATGTTCAGACTGGATTTGGCATTTTGTCTACCTATCGAGTCCTTACCCAGGACCTGGGATAGGCAGATGTGGATGTTTGATGGTATTACAGATATCGTCGCAGGATGGAAGCAGTTCCTAATAAGGCCGCCTTTTGCAATTGACTAATAGCGAATTTGTCAATGCCAATGGTGTTCAAGTGGTGCTCCAGTTGTTTTGGGATTGCACCCAAGGAGCCTATGACTATTGGTACTACCCTTGCTTGCTTTTGCCACAGTCTTTCTATTTCTATTTGTAGGTCTTTGTATTTTGTTATCTTCTCCAGTTCTTTCTCTTCTATTCTGCTGTCTCCAGGCACTGCCACGTCCACTATCCAGACTTTTTTGTCTTTCTTATCGACAATTGTTAAGTCTGGGGTGTTACGTTGCAGGTGCTTGTCTGTTTGAATTCTGAAGTCCCAGAGCAGTTTAATAATAATAATAATAATAATAATAATAATAATAATAATAATTATTATTATTATTATTATTATTATTATTATTATTATTATTATTAGTAACAACACTAGTCTGTTTTACCTTTTTTAAGTTATTTAAACTGCTAATTAGCCTTTATTCTATTTTGGGATGAAGTTTTATTTATCAGGGTTTTTTTTCAAAGTTATTGTTTGAAAGACCTTTTTTAAACTAAATAACTGTAAATCAAAAAGTGATTAGAAAGTGGATGAACCAAGTTTCCCTAAAGGCTTCGCCGCAGTTGAGAGCTTAATGGTTTCTGTCGTCTCCTGTGTGGAAACCACTATCCTGCACTCTTCTTGCAAGGAGCAGATGTCCAGAGCACAATTAGGCAATTTTTCAGCTCTTGCACTTTGTGTTTCTTTCAGCCTTTGGCAACCACCAAGAATGTTGTAGCAACACAATGATCACTGAAGAAAGAAAGGCAGAAATTTTAACCCCTTGGGGAAAGATTTTTTTTTCTTTTTATGACCCTTTTTATTAGAGTGGAGTTGGGACGACTGAATGGAGCCAAGCGAGCATTTACTGGCTTACTTCCTGACACCTACACAGAGTTCACAGCAGATATTTTCTTCACGGCCTGAGAGAAACGTCTGTCACTGCCTAGGATTGAACTCTCAACCTCCTGAGTGTGAGGTGAGCATCTTTACCTCTAGGCCACCGTGCACTCCTTTTTGGGAAAGATTAATTGGTTTAGAATAAAACAGTTGAAAACATGGGCTCTAGTTAAGAAACAGCAACTTGCATGCATGTGTATTTTATCAAAACAATTCAGGGATGCTGGATCTTAGAATGCCCAGTCCTGATTTAAAGACATAATTGTGGACATTAATACCACTGGTAATATTAAGTCCATTCTTCAAATACAGAAAGCCAGAACAAAAAAAGAATAAGCCGGGGCCACTCTTTCAGGGTGGATTTTTTAAATTATTGTTGTGGGTGTGTGGCTGTGGCTTAGCTGTGTATTTGCTTGGGGAGCCCTTTAAGAATCTCTTGATTCACAAGACTCATTTACATTTTAACTTCTTTAACATTCAGTAGAGAATTAAATTAAGCAAGATGGTAGTAATGTGGTTTTTCAAAGAGTTTATTCATATTTTTAATTTCTTTAACCTTCAAAAAAGAAAAGTAAACAAGATGTTGTGAATTTTGTATTTGAGAGGATTATTTATTATCTTACATATGCATATTGTATAGTTTCTTTCCTGAAAAACAGAGCAAGCTTGGGTGTTATTTACCCAGTCCCTCTTTAAAGATAAAAACATTTATAGTTCATTTTTAAAATGTCCATCTATGAGTTCATTGACCTAAGCCGGATCTTTGGTTTCACATGAAGGAGGATTCTTTTTAAAATTCAGCCATATAAATCTAAAAGTTGATGTGTGCGTGTAAATAGTAGATTTTTTAAAAAGTTGACAATAAATCTAAATATTGAAAGTATTTTGTAATATTCGGAAGCCCAGAAACAATAAAACTAGTAAGTAACCTACAAGGGTTATCAAACGATCAAGTTATTCATTAACACTAAATTGCCAAGCTATAAACAGCTTCGTATCTATGTCATACTGTATTGCAACACATTACAAATGAATGACGACAGACGTAATCAGATTATCTGAGGGTTTTTTTTTAAAGGCTTGCATCTATATAGTGCTGGAGAAGACTCCTGCAAGTCCCTTGGACTGCAAGGCGTTCAAACTAGTCAGTCCTAGAGGACATCAACCCCGACTGCTCTTTAGAAAGCCAGATCCTGAAGTTGAAACTCAAATACTTTGGCCACTTAATGAGAAGGATGGACTCACTGGAGAAGGGCCTAATGCAATTAACAACAACAACAACATCTATATAGTAACCCTAACCCTAAATCTACAACCTATACACAAGCCCCACAACCACGTCAAGGTAGTGCCTCACTGGGGGATTATTATTATTATTATTATCGATCATCGCACAGTCAGCCAGATGTTCAGACTGGATTTGGCATTTTGTCTACCTATCGAGTCCTTACCCAGGACCTGGGATAGGCAGATGTGGATGTTTGATGGTATTACAGATATCGTCGCAGGATGGAAGCAGTTCCTAGTAAGGCCGCCTTTTGCAATTGACTAATAGCGAATTTGTCAATGCCAATGGTGTTCAAGTGGTGCTCCAGTTGTTTTGGGATTGCACCCAAGGAGCCTATTACTATTGGTACTACCCTTGCTTGCTTTTGCCACAGTCTTTCTATTTCTATTTGTAGGTCTTTGTATTTTGTTATCTTCTCCAGTTCTTTCTCTTCTATTCTGCTGTCTCCAGGCACTGCCACGTCCACTATCCAGACTTTTTTGTCTTTCTTATCGACAATTGTTAAGTCTGGGGTGTTATGTTGCAGGTGCTTGTCTGTTTGAATTCTGAAGTCCCAGAGCAGTTTAATTTTATCATTTTCTATGACTTTCTCTATTTTATGATCCCACCAGTTTTTGCTTACAGGCAAATAATATTTTTTGCAGATCTTCCAATGCACCATTGTTGCTACTTTGTCATGCCGCTGCTTGTAATCAGTCTGTGCAATCTTCTTGCAACAGCTTACCAAGTGGTCCACTGTTTCTTCAGCTTCTTTGCATAGGCGGCACTTACTGTCTGTTGCTGTCTTCTCAATTTTGACTTTGTATGCATTTGTCCTTAAGGCTTGGTCTTGTGCAGCCAGAATTAGTCCCTCGGTCTCTTTCTTCAATTTTCCTGCTCTTAGCCATTGCCAGGTTTTATTATTATCTGCTTTCCCAGCTATTTTTTTCATGTATTGGCCATGTAGTGCTTTGTCTTCCCATGCCTCTATTCTGTTCTTCATTTGGTCTTTCTTGTAGGCCAGTTTGGTCTCTCCAGTAGTTAGTAAGCCTTCCTGATATACTAATTTCAGTGCATCTTCATCATTGTTCTTCAGATATTCTTCCAAAGCCATTTTTTCTTCTTCAACCATCTGATGTACTTGTAGCATTCCACGCCCACCTATTTGCCTTGGTAGATAAAGTCTATCAATGTCACTGCGTGGATGAAGGGCATGATTCATTGTCATTATTTTTCTGGTCTGCCTATCCATTGCTTTTAGTTCTGCTTGAGTCCAGTCCACTATTCCAGCTGTGTACCTAATGACTGGGATTGCCCAGGTGTTGATTGCCTTTATGGTATTTCCTCCATTGAGTTTGGATTTTAAGATCTTCTTCACTCTCTTGATGTATTCACCTCTAATCTTTTTCTTGACTTCAGTGTGCTTGATGTTGTCAGCTTGAAGGATACCCAAGTATTTGTAGTACTCTTCCTCATCCAGACTCTTAATGTTATTTTCGTGGGGCATCTTGATTCCTTCAGTTTTCATTATTTTTCCTTGTTTGATAGTAAGTGTGGCACATTTGTCCAAGCCAAACTCCATTACAATATCTTGGCTATATATACGGACAGTGTTGAGCAGCGATTCTATTTCAGATGATGTTTTTCCATACAGCTTCAGATCATCCATATAAAGGAGGTGGGATAGTCTGGCAGATGTTTTTGATGTTTGATAGCCATGTCCTGAGTTATTCAGTATTGTTGACAGAGGAAACAGTGCAATAACAAATAGTAATGGTGATAATGAATCTCCTTGAAATATTCCTCTCTTGATATTAACCTCTCCCAGCTCTCACCATTGATCTGCAACTGTGTCTTCCATTGTGCCATCGATCTTTGCACAAATTTTCTGATGTTTCTACTGACTCCTGTTATTTCTAGGCACTTTATTATCCAATCATGTGGCAGAGAGTCAAATGCCTTTTTGTAGTCAATCCATGCCACATTCAGGTTGGTCTTCCTTCTCTTGCAGTTTTCCAAGATCATTTTGTCTATTAGGAGTTGATCTTTTGTTCCTCTGCTATTGGGGCGGTTTCCTTTCTGCTCAGGTGGAAAGAGATTGTTTTCAACTAGATGCTGTTGCACTGCATCAGCTACACACCAGTTAGTAATTTGAAAGTTGTTGGTAAGCAGGTAATTGGCCTGTAGTTACCTGGTGTTGCCCCTTTTGCTGGATTTTTCATTATTAGGTAGGTTTTCCCAGTTGTTAGCCACTTTTCAATTTCTCCTCCTTGTAGTATATTGTTGAACTGTTTGGCAATGAGTGGGTGTATAACAGTTAGATGTTTCAACCAAAACCCATGCAGTTCATCTTCACCTGGTGCTGACCAATTTTTGATTTTCTTTGCTCTTTTTTCTACCATTTTTGTTGTTATTACTAGTTCTTTCATTTCAACTTCTGTTTTATTTGCATCCACCTCTTTTAACCAAGCCGCATCCTTGTTGTATTTCTTTGGGTTATCCCATATCTGCTTCCAGAACTGCACTGTTTCTTCCTTGTCAGGTACTGACTGATTCCTTGCAGTTTCTCCATTGATGGATTGGTAGAAACGTTTCTGATTGGATTGAAATTGGAGGTTCTGCCTATAGTTTGCAATTCGAGCTTCATATCTACTAATTTTCCTGGCTATAGCAGTTATTTGTTGCTTTATTATTTCCAGTGCTTCCTTGATCTTCCTTGTTTCTAAGTGGTATTTCTTGATTAGGTATTCTTTGGTCTTCTTGTTCTTCAACTTCTTTTCTTTCATCTATTCTAGCTTGCTTGCACGTGATCTTAACTTGCTGATCTTATTTTCTAGTCTAACCTTCCATTTTTCTGGTGCACTGTTTGTTTGTTTTTCTTCTTTGTTGATTTTGCATCCCAGGTATTCTGTTATAACTGCAGCTGTGCTGTACATTAGTTGGTTTGTTTCTTGCACTGAATTGGTGCTTATACTTGATATTGCAATATTTGCATCTTTTAATGCTTGTGCTAGCTGTTTCTTTGGAACAAGCTTCAATGCAGGCAGCCTTATTCTGGTGTTTTTGTGCTGTTCTAGATGCTCAATTATTCTTTGTTTCAATTCTTTTATTTCTTTAGTTAGAGGGTTTTGTTCTTCCTGAGGAAGAGGTGCCTGGTTTCCAAATGAGAACAGTTGTATATCTCTGCTGGATTCCTTCACTGCCAACCCCCCCTGGTTTGCCTCTACCTTCTGAATTACTTCTGGTAAGGCTCTGATTTCTTTGCCCTGGGTAAAACTTTGCAGTTCGTCCAATTCTGTTTCTGTGAATATTTTATTTCGTGTTATAAATCGGCGTTGATCTGCTAGTCTCTGTTCTGTTATTTCTGATTCTGGATGTTGTTCTTTCCAGAACTGGTGCATTCGTTTTAGATATCCTCTTCTTGTTGGACTTGATCTGTAGTAACAGATCATTAGTTCTTTGTTTTCCATCACTGTGTATCTGCGACGGGTAAACACCTTTTCTTCCAGTAGTTCTGCAGCTGCTGGCCCTGGTTGCTCAGCCAACAGTCCTGAGTCCTGTAACCCATTTTTCACCAGATATCCAGGAACTCCAATATCTAGCGCGGACCTTGTTAACCTGGGCGACGTCCGAGCCGGTATGGCATTCTGCAATTTACGTCTCACCATATTTTTTATGGGAGAGACATTCTTTGTCTGACTCCTCTGATGAGACCTGTCCAGTATGGTTGAACCTCTGGCATAGCTCTCATCTTCCTCAGAGTATTATTATTATTATTATTATTATTATTATTATTATTATTATTATTATTA